TATATATATATATATTGTTTACGTGTTATCTCTCATTCTCGTCGACGACATAACACGAGTGGAGTAGAAGAAACTGAAAATTTGAAAAGATCGATGGTGATACTCGTAATACCTAAGAGTTTGAGGGCGCATGGTGAAAATAATAAACATTTCTTCAATTTGAAAACTTTCCCCCTCATTTCAAATCTTAAGCACTGCGCTTTGAAATCTCAATCCAGCACCAGCACGAACAGAAAAGTGTTCTCCCCGCAAGGCTGGATTCCAGATTCATTCTTGCAGAGAGAAAGGAAAGCACGGCTTGTGCTTGATTAATCATGGCTCAAAACATTTTGAGATTCGAAACCCTCGAATCCGAAGAGAATGAGCTCGACCACTCCTCAACCTTGTCTATGTCGTCTCCTTCAAGGGCTCCCCTGCACTCGATTCCAGATCCTTCTCAGCTCCAGAAGGTGAACTATGGTTCCGATTCGGATTTGGTCCACAAATTTGAAGGTGCAAGACCGCAACACCATCGGACACTGGGTCCAGAGAAGAGATCCGAAGTGAGTGCTTTCCACGATTCGACTCCTAGGATTGTGGGTCGTAATGCGAAAGCTCGATCGGAGCCTAACTCTGCTCAAAGCACACCGGCGAGGAACGGGGCGAGGGTTTCGCTGGGTGGTGGTGCGAGAGTCGTGTATTTGGGAGGAAGAGGGATGGGCTCTTCGTCCAGAATTCCAAGGGCAATTCCGGTGCTCGATTCTGTTTCTTCTGCGGAAGTTCCACATTTTGAGCTCAATGAAGATGCGTCGTTTTGGAAAGAACATAATGTGCAGGTTTTTTGCTCCTCTCGTTTCTAAGTAATTCTTTACAAAATGGTTCGTCAGGACTTGCTAATTTCCAAAAACTTGCCTATTGTGTAGGTGTTGATACGAATACGACCACTGAGCTCAATGGAAAAGGCTTCCCAAGGATCTGGTAAGTGTTTGAAGCAAGAAAGCCCACACACATTGGTCTGGCTGGGTCATCCGGAGACTAGATTCACCTTTGATCATGTAGCTTGTGAGACAATATCTCAGGTAGACCTCATTCTCGTCCCTATACTTCGTAATATCATAATTCATTGTGAAAAGAAAAAAGTATTTTCGCTACCCAGTTTTGACGCTGGATATATATTTAAGCGAACGAATAGTCTTTAGTCTTCGCTACATGTCACATTCGAAGTAGCTATCTGAATGACTTGAATTTGGTTTATTTTCAGGAGAAACTGTTTCGTGCTGCTGGACTGCCCATGGTGGAGAATTGCTTGTCTGGGTACAATAGCTGTATGTTTGCCTATGGTCAGGTTAGAGATCATATGTTATTGTGGTGTACTTTCTTGTTTGGATTTGGAATGGTGCAAATGTCTCTAATCTTAGTATTGTCTTATCCAGACTGGTAGTGGCAAGACTTATACAATGATGGGTGAGATATCCGTGGTAGAAGGCAGTCTCAACAATCACTGTGGGATTACTCCCCGTGTATTTGAATATTTGTTCTCAAGGATCAAAAAGGTATATAAACGTAAAACTTTTCTAAGATATATCATACAATGTCGAGTTAACTTTTCTAGATTTCTTATTGATCACTATAATTTAGTACTTAAAAATCTTTTGAACAGGAAGAAGAAGGAAGGAGGGATGAAAGACTGAAGTTTAGTTGCAAATGTTCCTTTCTTGAAATATATAATGAGCATATAACTGATCTCTTGGAGCCATCATCAACTAATCTGCAAGTAATTCAATCTTTCATTTTCTCTATCTACTTTACTTTATTTATTTAATATTTGCAAAACATAGTTCAAAAACTCGATTTTCCATGTGATAGCTCAGAGAAGATTTGATGAAAGGAGTATATGTCGAAAATCTTGTAGAACATAAAGTGAGAAATGTCAACGACGTTCTCAAGCTCCTACTACAGGTTAGGCCTTAAAGCCAAAAGTTTTGTTAAGTGTTCACGTATTTGATTTTTAAAATTTGGAGTTGTTTCTCTATATCATCAGGGAGCAGCAAACAGAAAGATAGCAGCAACCCATATGAACAGCGAGAGTAGCAGATCACACAGTGTTTTAACATGCACCATTGAAAGCCGTTGGGAGACAGATTCCTTAACTCATTTCAGATTTGCAAGACTAAACTTGGTCGACTTAGCCGGTTCTGAAAGGTAGCTCAGTATTTTTTGAATATTTTCTCTTACATCTCATGATTGATAAAATTATTTTGTCACATGTATAGGCAGAAAAGCTCTGGTGCAGAAGGGGATCGTCTGAAAGAAGCAGCAAACATAAACAAATCCTTATCCACCCTTGGGTAATCCATCTTCCTTTTTTCTTGTGGTCCATGAAGTGCTTTCTGACACTGCCCTTTTTCTCTCCCTCCCTATCTCCCATTTAGGTTTTATTGCACCTTAAAATTCTTGATTATAGAGATCCTAGATACTGTTCATTCTTTGACTTGCAAACATTTTACAAACATTCAAGTCTCTTATATACTGACAAAGATGATAATAGGCATTAAGATTAAATTGAGGAGAGACTGAAAATATGCAAAGCAAGAAACGAGTTGCATGACTTCAACAGATTTGAACTCTTTGACAGCTGAAGAATGATTATAACTAGAGATAAATGATTACATGATAGGATAAGATGCCATTTGATTTGTGTAATAGCTGCCAACTGTTTTCATATTTGCAATGGAAGTGTTCTGGCTATTTATATCACTCTACTCCTCTGTCAATTTAGATTGGTCATAATGTCTCTGGTGGATTTGGCACATGGGAAACACAGACATGTTCCCTATAGAGATTCTCGACTTACATTTCTACTACAGGTATAAATAAGGTTAATTCACCCTTCATTTCGTTTTCCTTTTTCAGTAACGGTATTGGAACTAATTTAATACTTCATTGCAGGATTCTCTTGGCGGAAACTCTAAGACAATGATAATAGCAAATGTCAGCCCATCTGTTTGGTTTGTATCAAAACCATGCTTGAATCAGTGGGCACTGGTATACTGTGTCTTGACATATTTCTGATAGTTATTGTCATACTGCAGTTCCGCAAACGAAACTCTCAGCACTCTGAAGTTTGCACAGCGAGCCAAACTAATCCAGAATAATGTAGCTTTAACTCTTCGTTTATTTCATGAATGAACTCTTCTACGAAAGTCGGATCAGATTTGAGTTGTTGCTTTACTTCATTTCCCAGGCTAAAGTCAATGAAGATTCATCTGGGGATGTAACAGCACTCCAACATGAAATAAGGAAATTGAAGGTATCCAGGAGATATGTTAAAGAGAGCCTTTTCCTGCATAACTGCAAAGTGGTGAAACTAAGTCCTTTTACCATCTTTAAACAGGGCCAACTATCCTCTCTGATGAAGAACCAGAATTCTTCAAAGGTTGTTTCAGACTGCCTGCCTTCTCGCAAAGAATCCAGATATTCTGGTATAAACGAAATTCCAGGGGAATTACTACAATATGGGTGTCAATGCCAGATGCATAGCCCTCTGATTAAGAAGGTAAATTTGCAAAAACATTTCTGTATAGTCTTGGTACAAGTCTAAGTGAACTGACTTAATGCATTATGCACTCACAACAGGTGAAAAGCATGAAAGAAATATTGACTGGAGCTCTGAGGAGGGAGAAGGTGGCTGAAACTGTCCTAGAGAAGTCAAAAGCTGAGATTGAGTGTACCAATAGCCTGGTTAGTATTGTTACAAGAATTGTTCAGCATATTTTTTTTGGAACATAATTGTTGTGCAGACTCATCTAATGATACAAATAAAGGCAGATTTTACTTTAGTTCATCTTTCTACTTCTGTTCATCTCATAGTCTGGTCTTCTACGACAGGTTAAGCATATGGAGGAAGATGCTCAATTCACTAAAATGATGCTTAGTTTACGGGAAGAGAAAGTCAAGCAACTGGAAATGTTGATATCTAGCTCACTGACTTCTGAGGACTATCTTATGGAAGAAAATAAAATTCTAAAAGGAGAAATCAAGCTTCTTCAGGAGAGTATGAGCAGACAAGCCCAGTTGACACATTGTGCTCTGGACAATATTAGACTTCAGGAGCAGCTTCAAATGTAAGTCTGAATTTGAAATACTTTTATATGAATGTTTTTTCTATCAACATCTTACATTGTGGTATATGTTACTTTGTCAGACATCAGAATTTCTATGAGCTTGGGGAGCGGGAGAAATTGCTTGCTGAGATTTCGGAACTACGTGACCAGGTTTGAGAAGGTATTTATCAAACCAATTTGCAGCCTATAACATTGGACTAAATTCAAATTTTATCATTTGTTGTGCAGCTTCTTGACATTCTCGAAGCTAACAGTGAGTCATTTTCTGGATGTGTGATGAAGGTTGGATTAAGGAGACAGTTTACCTGATCTCAATTTCTTGTTTATCTTGCTTCTGGGTTCTTACATGTATATTTGATGATATTGCAGGATGATAAAGTGGAGAGGGAGTTGGAAAATTGTAGAAAAATGAATTCGAGTATGATCAGGTATCGTATCCAGGTCTAGCATCCTTTGCAAAGTTTGCATATTAGGATAAAGTTTGTGTTTCTGTTCTACCCTATACTGTACACTGATGCTTTCATTTTTCTCTATTTTATCCATTTGGTATGGAATGACTTCCAGATTCCACTGTTGCGGTTAATAAAAATTGTTAGCACAACCTCTGTGCTCTTCATCCTACATCTATAATCTCATTTTACCACAATTTCTAGTTGTCTTGTGCCCTTTTTTTCATGATTTTTTGTTGAGCTTGATATGATCATTTGAACATACTTGTGATAAGGGAGGCTTGATAAAGTTTTCTTCCCTGTTTTTTGAGTTGCATTGTTTTTCTATGCAGAAAACTAGATGTAATGCACAGAGGACTTGGAAGATGCTTGAATTTTGATCAAACTGCTGACCTTGTAAGCATTCTGACATTTTTTACTCGTGATTTATCTTTGCTGCACTTATAGCACGTTACATAATCCCACAATCAACTTGAATAGCACAAACAAGCAAATAACGGTTCATTGGTCAGTACAGTGTAATAGTTTTCTACATGAAACACAGTTTAAAAAATTTATTAGTTTATTGATTACATGGTTTTAAATGTTTTTGTAAGAAGCAGCATGTAAATGATGTTATCCTTTTTTACATCCACTCTCCTTTTGATGTCATACAGGGGGAAACGATGTCAATTAGAAGTGACTGGGGTGAAGATATTGTATGTTCAGCCCAGGAAAAAGAAACTCTGGAGAGAAACAATTGGAGTGATATGAATAGTGCAGCAAGTAGCGATCATAGTAACATTAGGAAGGAACTGATGGAGTCTAGATCATTAATTGAAGCTATGGAAGTGGAGCCGGTTCAGCTGATAAATGAAATGATGTTTATGCGGGAGGATGATAGATACAGGGAAACACTGAGAAAAATCGAAAACAATGAAAGAGAACCCTTCCCTAAGATAGAAGCTTATGACGGTGACTTCAGTGGTTTGGATCTAAAAAATGAAGATGCGGTAATGGGGATTGATGGTGGGATAGAGAAGTACATCCTCCAATTAAAGTTAGAGAAACTGAGCAAGGATCTTGAAGAGGCCAGAAAACTTAATTGTCACTATGAGAAAGACCGTAAGCTGAAGTTATCTCAACAACAAGATATTAAACTTGTCTGTGAGCATGTTGAGACTGAAACTTCCAGAACAATTCTTCATCTGCAGGAAGAATTGATTGCTCTTCAGTCTGAATTTGAGGAAAGGATTTGTAACCTGACTCAGGAAAACAGATCACTGAAAGATACTATAACAGCTAGAGAAGCAGAGATAAAGACACTTAATCAAGACTGGGAAAAGGCAACCATAGAGCTAACAAGTTTCATTGTGGATGGATCTAAATCCATAAAAGAAGCCTCTACACAGATTGAAAGTATAATCTGCTCATTCCCACATGTTAACGCTTGGATAGGTGATTATGTTGAGAAGGCTGCAAAAGTTTGTTTTGAAAAGGAAGAAACAGTTTTACTTCTACAGAAAAGTTTGGAGGATGCACAGATACTGTTAGCAGAGATGGACTTGAAGCTGAAATCTTTAAAGGGAGCGACAATCGTGCTGAATGAAGTCCAACTGCAAGACAATGTTGTAAATGTGAAACAGATGCTCCGCCTAAGCACTGAAACAAAAAGGATGAGCAATGTGGCTGACAAGCCTGAAAATGAATTTGAATCAAGGCAACATCAGATTCTGGAAGCAGAAAGACGTTCTGAGGCTACTCTTGCAGTTAGAAAATGGCTCTCTACTTCTACCAAGGTTTTTGAAGGAGAAGATATTGACAACAACGTTTGCAGGCCACATCTGGCTTCTTCTATTAATGGCAGATGTAACTTGTCCTGTGAGAAACCTAATGATAATCTCTTGAGGGATCACGATACTAGTGCAATAGAAGTGACCAGCAATGGAGGCACGGATCGTGATTCTGATATCCATTCTCTATTTACAGATATCCAAGTTCATTTAGGAGCCTCCACAATGGATTTCCTCCAGATGTACTCCAGCTGCAAGCACTTGGTTCAAGATGTGATCAGAGAAATTCATGAAATTCGGTTTGAATTGCTTACACTTAAAAAAAACCATGGCGACATGCAAATTCAGAGACCATTTCAATCGGGGGAACCATATAAGCCTTGGATAACAAGCAATCAATTCGAAAAGGGTGAAAAAATAAAAGATCAAGCTTGTATATTCTCGTCGAAGGAGAAATATTTAAGTGAAGAAGTACATGGAAGGGGTGAAGATTTTTCAACATCAAGCTCTGACTTTTCAATTTGTAATGCGGGTCAGACAGCGAACATGATCTATCCAGGAATTTTACTTCCAGAATCTGAGGACCAGGAAACGCATGATAAAGCCATGTCATTGGCCTCGGTTAACGAAAATGATTCAGGACATGGTGTTTATTGTGAAGGTATACATTTCCTCTGGTTTTGTCCATAAAACAGGTTATCTTACATGAACCAATCATTAATTTAATGTAGAGAAACACGCTTATGTTCCCTTGATTATTGCAGAGGGGCAGCAGGCAGAACTTGTGCCATTGGCATTAATGAAGGAGAGAAAAGAAATGGAATACAAACTTAGCAATAGAGTAAGCTTTGATCTTGCATTGTTGCTTTAATCTCGTACCCTCTTTTGTGGTGCCAAGACAAATAAAGTAAATGGTTAGATGTCCATTCAATTAAGTAGCTGAAATTTAACTGACTATGCAGCCTTCTTCTGAGGTGTATGCGGGTCTTATCCAGAGAATGGATCCTGCGAGAAGCTTCTTCAAACAATTTGAGGCAGTCAATGCCACCATGAAAGAAGCTGATCTCACATTACGTCAACTAGTGGAAGCCAACGGAAAATCAAAACAGGTTATTGGAATGTGGTGTCAAACTAATGAGGAGCTAATGGTTGAGAGAACAAGTCTAATGGAAGACCTGGAACAGCTCAGGTGTTCAGTATCCTTGTGTGAAAAGGAAAATCAATTCTTGCTGGATCAAACACATTCCACCTTGGTGGATATGAAAAATTCCATGTCTTTGCTTGAAGAGATCTTTCTACAAATGAAAAGGGGAGTAGAAAAAACATTAGAGGCTTTATACTCTAACGTCCTTTTAACTGCAAGAGAGCTGCTTCATTTGATTGGCACCTCAAGAAAATTGCTCGAACAGATGTTCTCTGAGACGATGGAGAGTGGGTTTGCTCTGTATGTCATACAACAGTGCCATATTGGGAAATTGCTCGATCAGATGGATCAGAGTAAAAGAACTATTACAACTTTTCCTTGGCAAGAGAAACAACCGTTCATGGAGAGTAACACCAGCAGATCCAGTTCTGAAGATAATGTCAGTAGACAAGTGGATGGAGCTAACATAGCTGATGGGGTCACTGAGTTGAAAAATGGAGTTGTTTACCAGTCACGTAACAACCTAATATATGAGAACTTGTTTCTAAAAAAGGAGCTAGAGAGGAAGGAAGCTTTGTTTGAGGGTTTGCTTTTTGATTTTAGGCTGTTGCAAGAATCAGCATCAAATAAAAGAGATATCAAAGATGAAACTGATGAACTGATTGATGCATTATGCCAGATTCGTCAAGAGCTGGGCCGGAAAACAATTCAAGTACATGACCTTGTATTCCAAAAAGAGAAACTTGAAAATTGCTCAAGTGACTTGCAGAAGGCTTTGTTCTCGTCGAAATCAGATCTGGAGAAGGCTGAAGAGAGGATACATGCTCTTACAGAGAAGAATGGCGAGTTAAGAGTCCTTCTGAAAGATCTCTGCTTGAAGAAAACAGCAGCTGAAGAAGCATTGGAAGAACAAAAAGAGCTTGTCAAAGGGTTGGAAAGTGAAATCATATACTTGACTAATACAGCAGAAGCTCAGGTTCTTTCTTCTGTCAGGGCCATTGAAGAAGACTTAAAAGAGGTTTCTGGTGATAAAGAGCAACTCCTTGATGAAATACGTTCTCTGAATGATAAGCTTGATATGGCTTATGCAATTGCTGACGAAAAAGAAGCTATTGCTATAGAGGCTCGTCAGGTAAATAGCTCAGGGGGCACAATTTATTCTGATCTATACCAGTAGTGGTGAAGGGTGACTAACTGGGATTTCCAAATTTTCTCTTGTAGGAATCTGAGGCAAGTAAAATGTATGCCGAGCAGAAGGAAGAGGAGGTCAAAATTTTAGAGATTTCGGTGGAAGAGCTTGAGAATACTGTAAATGTTTTGGAAAAGAGGGTTAGTTCCTCTTATCTGCAATCTCTATGTCTAAGCTTCATAAAAACAATGGAAAGAGAAATTGGGTGTTTTTACCAACCTCTTGCATTGTACTGATACTTAAATGATTTTCTCCTCCAGGTGTATGATATGGATGCGGAAGTAGAAAGACATCGCATGATTCGAGATTCATCAGAAACAGAGCTCCAAACTCTCAGACAAAGATTGCTAAGAGTCGAAAATTTCAACCTAGACATCGACGAATGTGAGGATAAGACATCCAGGTACTGCATCTTAGTTTGATCTTTAATTTTCGTTTCTTGAGTTTCATTTTGTGTAAATACTGAGTTTTGGTGAAAACAAATGTATGATAGGTCAAAAGAGCTCCAAGAGGCGCATTATCAGATCCAACTCCTTGAGAAGGAAGTAGCAGAAATGAACAAAGAGGTGGATTACATTAATTGGTCGCCCTCAATTATGAATGTGCATATGAAGATTGCTTTGCTTCTCTTTACTACTAAATCGATCTTTCTCCTCTTGCAGATTAAACAACTCAGAGAGTACATTTCGGAAGTTGTGCTGCATTCTGAGGCCCAAGCTTGTGGTTACCAAGAAAAGGTATTAGGTTTGATCTTTCCATGCATAGTTTAAACAAAATGTTATCGTGTTGAATACTTGTCTGTACTCTGTAAAGGAAAATTAGCTATATTACTGTGTTTTTTTTCCTCATATTCATGGTTCTTGATGTGTGTCCTTCAAAGACATGTAAGATATTATGAATTCGGACCAGCTTTTGGAATTACCACTGATTTCTGCAGCAGCAGCACTGCAGTTAAAGGGAATGACTTTGATAGCGGTTAGCACCTGAAATTTTCCTTCACTCTCTTGCTTACAAAATTTCTACCTGCCTATCTTAACAGTACAAGGGTCTCGAGGCCATGGTTCGTGATTTAAAAATAGATGCATCAAACACGTCAACTGCAGCAACATCACATAAAACTGAGAAAAGCTCATCAAGGACCAGAGGTTCAGGCTCACCATTCAGATGTATTGCAGGGTTGGTACAACAGATGAATTTGGAGAAGGATCAGGAATTGACAATGGCAAGGTTTCGTATTGAAGAACTGGAATCGCTGCTAGCTGTTAAACAGAGAGAGGTTCAGCATTTGAGCGAACGCCTCGTCAAGATATTAGTTCTTGTAATCAGATTCATTTTAGAGTGGCTCAGTGAAGCTTCTCTTTTCTTTTTTCTCGCTGTACAGGTATGCTCGCTGAACACAAGGATAGCCGCAGCTGAAAGCATGACCCACGATGTCATCCGGGATTTACTTGGCGTGAAAATGGATATGACCAACTACGCTGTAAGTATGAGAATATCAAGTTATCTTTAAGAATGATTAAAGGGGTCCTCAACCTGACATTTTAATCCTTGTCATCTTTCAGAATTTGGTTGACCACTATCAGTTTGGAAGGGTAGTTGAGGAGGCTCATCAACGCACAGAAGAGATCCTCTCCAAGGTGATGCAGGAAGAGGAAACTTAATAACATGTGACATGTTGACTCGGTTTTAGGTTTTGGTACATTGTTTTTCTCCCCTTTGACCTTTGTTTTCAGGAGCAAGAAATTATCAAATTGAAGAAACATATTGCCGCCTTTGTTGAAGAAAGAGAGAGGTTAGCCTGTTCTACTGAATCTATTATGTCATGAGTTGATATGCTTGTTTCTGCGCCGCCGTGTAACCGCATTCTGGAAAGAAAAATCTACCCAAAAGATTTAATGAATGGCACTTGGATGTGTATTCAAGTTTACAATCCTGTCTTGTCTTGTTGTGGGTGGGACAGATGCATATCAGAGTTGAAGGAAAAAGAAGCAGGTGTACTTGCCAATCAGATTACTTTAGAGCAACTACAGGAACAAGTTCAGTTGCTTTCTGCACAGAACGATATGTTGAAGGTAATAATGCATGGTTTCCCACTTCTACAGCAGCTGAAGAAACAACTGCTTGTGTCAGTGGTTGATGCTGTGTTCCATTTTTCAGAAGGACAAGACCAATTTGCTGAGGAGGGTAGCTGAACTTGATCAAAAAGTCAAAACGTTTGTTGATGCACCAGGCAGTAGTAGCCAATGTGTAACGCAAACACCAAGGGTATGTATAACTGATCCTTCAGATGCATTTCTTTTTTCTTTCTTTCTTTTGGTTCTTCAAAGTTTTTCACCAGTGGTGTGCATAATTTTTGTTACCAAGGATGATTAGGTTTTATTGAATGGAATGGACAGGATACAAGGTCGATCAAACTGATGGATACAGATTACTCAAAGCGACTGGAGCACGCTCAGAAGCTTCTCTCCCATGCCAACAATGAATTGGCAAAGTATTGCAAAACCGGTAACAGTCAACCACCGGTTTTACCAGCTCAAGGGCCGCGGAGGAGCTCTGGGACAAGTTTTAGATGAAAAAAAAAAGTCTTTACAGGAATGTTCTTGTATTTTGCTTGGTAAGATGATGGCACTTTCATCAAACTTGTGAAGAAAAGTATTGAAGTCTCGACATGATGGATGACATCGAACTCTGTCTCTAGGACATGATTTGATTTATGGGTTCAATTGGCCCTTGTGCATAGAAAAATACAGTGTACGTATATGTTTGTGTTTTTGTTATGGCTTGTGAGAATGGTTTTCTTCGTGTGTATTTGCGTGCTACGATGATCTGTTATGTCTTACTGTTCCAACAGGTTTTGCTTCACATCAACATCACCTTAGTCCCAAATTTATTTGGGATCAGTTGCATGAATTCTTCGTTTTCACTCATTTCAATTTTACGTTAGCCGATTTTGCGTTAGCGTTTTGCTTCACATGATAAATATAACAAAACATGTAAATCTGAAAAAGCTCTGAATCCGGAGTCTGATGACAATAGAATGGGAAAGAAAAAAAAAGACGTATTAAGAGAGTGAGAGTGGCGCGACTAACACACCACACACGGGTCATGTTCTTTGAACTCATAAAATGTGATGATGCCCAGAAACAAAAGATAAGATGGATGGGGGCAATCCACACTACGAGAACCAAACTCATTAACTCAGGTAGCAGAAGAATGCCAGCGGCAGTGATGACGCCTCTTTTCCTTTTCCAAACTCCTCAGGCTGTGACCTAATTCCCACACATTCAATCATATATTGTATAACAAGACTGCTCAAAATAAAAAGGGCTTCAAAAGAACACAAACCTTAGTACAGACGTAGATGTAATGGACATCCGGGTTTTTCCCGAGTGTAGTCTCCACAGAGCTTCCCTCAGCGTCTACAGGAATAGGGTTCCTCAATTCCCATTTTGGATGTTCTGCTGCTTCGTCTGTTAAAGTTTTGTCTGCCAAAAAACACATCCAGCATCTAGGAACCCCCTCCTCTACCCAAACCCAATATCATGAAATGTGCATATATATATAGGTCACCTATCACATGAAGTTTTATGGTCCAAGAGCACGATTCTTTTAGTAGATGAAGACGGTAGACTGGAGCTCCATATGTAATCTACATCACAGGCAACACAAGCTCTTGTGATCCGTAGCCAAACACACAGACTACACCCAAGCATCTGTAGATCAAATCTCAGACTGCTATTTAAACCCCAGGGAATATATGATGAAACTTACCAGGATATAGACCCCTTTATCCTTGAGAACCCTATAGTTTTTTCAACTGCTTCATTATAGGTGGAGAGATCAAGAGAAAACTAAAGCATATCTGCCTAATAGATGTTGATTATAGTACCTCCAAACCTCTTCAAGCATTTGTGTGGAGTTTTGCCTCGAATTATTCCCACACTACACAGCGAAGAAAATAAGACTTTCCCAATGATATGAACTCATGAAAAATGAGCAGGAGAAAGACTGGACTTCACTCACCAATATGGAATCGAGGGTTCCTGTAACACGCGAAATAGTTCCAAAAGGTTATGGCTTGGAAACAAAACAAGGCAAGGTTATCTGCCAAATGTGACCAAACGAGGAAAGGGGCTACCTTTATCAATTACAGCATCAAAAGAAGCAGCTTGAAATGCGCTCATATTACGCACATCCATCTTCAGAACTGTAACACGATGAAGAATCATGGCAGGATTTTAACAGATTCTGCGATGCTGATGAGTTTGGGATCGAAAAAAAGAAGAGGAGGTACATTTGAGCTGAGGACGGTGGGAGTACTTGGTGTGCATAGTGTCGATGACGACAGAGGAGATATCTATGTTCACCACATCTTGGTAGCCATCATCGACCATTCCCTCGCTGAAGGCTGAGGAGAGAGACGCAGATTCAGATACAAACACGCAGACAGAAAATTACAGAAGAAGAAGAAGAAACCTGAGTTGCCGCAGCCAATGACGAGGACAGGGTGAGAGCGATGAGGGACGTAGAGGTTGATGAGGGGAGCCAAGGAAGGGTATTTCTGGTACCAATCGAAGGGTCCAGATTCGTTGGAGTAGCGGTTGTCCCAATACCATGCTTCCCCGTACGCTTGACTCGCGTTCTCCGTCAAACCCATCGTCCTCCTCTCTCTTCAAGCCTGAAGCTGGTGACAACAGACGAGCCCTCTTCTCCAATCTTACAGACACAGGATTAGTAGCTTCGCCCCGATCATGCCATGTGGCTCCCGGCTCGCCTTCCAGAACTTCAAACGTCGCCGTTTTGCTTTACCATGCACGTCGTCGTTTTGTAACAAGAAAATTTTTGGTAGTAGAACTATTTTGCTTTATCTAATTGCTTCCGATCGGAGTTATTTTCGACAATTTTTTTTTTTCCGGACCGGTCTTTTTTTATTATCATCGAATCACTTTTTGTCGTGTGTTGTCAAATTTATATCTACGGCGCATTGGCTTGTTTGCTTTTTTAGTTTGTTAAGAGAAATTCGGAAGGTCACCTGGTTCAAGTGTCATATAATTGATTATATTTTTTCTTTCAAATTTGATTGATTCGTGATCTCCACGCTCTAAATAAAATGGATGGATGTTGAGATATATCAAATTTTGATGAATAATATAAAATATATTATACAATAAAAATTTTATCAAAGAAAATATATATTTAAAAATATTTATTATTATATTTATTGACTCTCATATAAATATCTATTATCAATAAAAAATATTATCCCTCAAAATTTCTACAGGTAACGCCGCAACTTTGACCATCTTCGGGGGCCCTCCTTTAGACGCGCGTGTTTTCCTTTTATGCCTTTTGGAGTGATTTTGTATCCTCGTAGTCGTAGTGCTTTTTGTTGGGCTCCCATCGTTGAGTTGTGATGTTCTAACTTCTAGGTCTACGCTACGCAATCCTCCCCTGTAATTGCTCTATAGATTGATGGGTTTACGTTTTTCCGGATCATGTCTAGTCTTGAACACCTTTCATCTAGTGTCTCAGGCCCCTTGTTTAATCAATTGAAGCATGTACTTCAACCTTATTCTATAACTGCTCCTCGAGAGCTTGTGTCTGAATATAAGCGTACAGTTCATTTACTTTCTCTTTTTCTTATGTCTGAACGTCTCTTTACTCTTACATCCGGAACTACTCGTCGTGTCTGAATATGTCATTGTTTACGCGTACAGTTGGGCTTATATGTGTGCCAAGCGGTTCATTGGAGTTTCCTGTCTGAACAATGTCTTTGTTTACGCATGCCTTTGGCTTTTCCAGTTGAGAGGAAAGCATAATTTACTCGGAGCCTGTTCCACGTCACTGTTTAATGGGCTGCTTTGGTTGCAGTGGAGGAGAGGATTTTCGTAGAGCTGCTGAAACCAGACCAAGGCCGGTGCTCAACCCTGCAGGTAGCTCATCCACTTACTCTATTCTCTTCTGCTTTACGGCGAATATGTGTCCTTTAATTATCTCTTAGCTAGACAAGTTAAAGGTGATGATATTTCGAACTGCTCTAAAGGTTATAATGGAGGTCACCATATAAAAGAAGTCCACCCAAGGACCGCCCGTTCATTGCTATGCAGCCTATAGCTGCACCTGCCATCCCCGTACGTAGATGAACTGAGGGATATAACCGATAACTATGGTCCAAAGGCTTTGATCGGCGAAGGCTCATATGGAAGAGTGTTTTATGGTGTTCTTAAAAGTGGTAAGGTGGCCGCCATCAAAAAGCTGGACTCCAGCAAGCAAATTGATCAAGAATTTCTCGCCCAGGTAGACCTAATGCTTTCTAAAGCTTTAGGTTCATCCTAAAGTTCTAAGTTCATGTTATTTGCCATCAACCCAATCCAGAGAATTATTCCCGTATTTGTTTCTTACATAGAAAACGTTAACAGGTATCGATTGTTTCGAGATTGAGACACGAGAACGTTGTTGCGCTTCTTGGTTACTGTTGATGGCGCTCTCAGGGTTCTTGCTTATGAGTACGCTTCTAACGGTTCTCTTCATGATATCCTTCATGGTAAGTGACTAACTTATGACATGTGTACCACTTACCTAACATTTCAACCTGCAGTAACTGGAAAAAGTGAGAAAAGTAAAAGGAAATAGAAAACTGATTGCTGGGAATTGAAGGACGAATAACGTAAAGAAATGTTGAATGTAGGAAAGGTGTCAAAGGAGAACAGCCAGGTCCAGTTCTATCTTGGCAACAGAGAGTTAAAATTGCTGTTGGGGCTGCCAGAGGGCTCGAGTACTTGCATGAGAAGACTAGCCCTCCTATTATCCACCGAGATATCAAATCCAGCAATGTGCTTCTGTTTGATGATGACATTGCCAAAATCGCTGACTTTGAACTGTCCAATCAAGCCCCCGACATGGCCGCACGCCTTCATTCAACTCGTTTGCTTGGAACCTTTGGCCACCATGCACCAGAGTAAGAGACTCCTTATCCTTTTCAGTGTTTTCACTCGTTTTAATAGTGATCTGTGAATTAGACTAATTCATGGGCTAAATGTCCTCAATGGTCACTCATGTGCTCAGGAACCTTGGGTATTATGCTCTAATATTACGTAGAACAAAGTCATTCACGGGGATTTAGGTTTTTGGATAAAAATGGTCATACCTCCAGTTCCAGCTGAAATGTAGTTTTTGGGGTTATGCATTTCAGATACGCAATGACGGGAACATTGAGCACAAAGAGCGATGTGCTTTGCTTTGGAGTTGTCCTGCTAGAGCTTCTAACAGGGCGTAAACCTGTGGATCGTACATTACCGCGTGGACAGCAGAGTCTTGTGACTTGGGTAAAGTTTCTGTTTCCTTTCTCGAATTTGAAAACTCATGGATGTAAGCATTTGACTGTATAAAACAGGCAACACCTAAGCTGAGTGAAGACAAGGTGGTGAAGCAGTGTGTTGATGCGAGACTGAACGGGGAATACCATCCAAAAGCGGTCGCTAAGGTAACGAGTCTGTTCTTTCATTTTTTTTTTCTTTTGTGAGTGTGTGTGTATTGTGATATGTTTGAGGAGAGTGATTTGTGTGTGTCAGCTGGCGGCTGTGGCAGCGCTGTGTGTGCAATATGAGGCAGACTTCAGGCCGAACATGAGCATTGTGGTGAAGGCTCTTCAACCTCTTCTTAACCCTCCTCGCTCTGCTCCGCACCGTCATCCTCTCTGATGAACCCCTCCTCCCTCCCCCCTTTTTCTCTCTTCCTGTAAATCCCTGTGGATGGATGATGGCCTTATTTGAGGGATGGATGGATGATGACCTTATTTGATTCAAGGACTCCATTATTTTCCAGAGACGCCTTCTGATTTTAACAGTTTGTGAGGATGATGCTGTAGTCTCCGTTGCCTCTTTTTTTTTTTTACAAATGAATGTGAAACACTCCCAACTGTCGGCCATTTTTGACAAATAAAACATGAACTCTGATGTAAAGATTAGTTTCTGTGGTAAATAGTTAAGAGCCAATCTCCAAAGTAAAGACATTAACAAACAAACAAAAAAAAGCTGCCTTAAGAAGAACCTCAGCGTGTGTGTGTGTGTTGTGTAATAATAATAACAAAGTGGAAGAAGGCTGTACAGAGGGATCGACCAACAGATACAACACAATACTCCTAACTCCAAAGAGCGAAGACTCCATCGAATCCACAACTTCATGGATGGACCTCAGATGGCTTTGAATCTTCTTCTTCATTAGTCTCTGTCTGCGTCTCTCCTTCTTGGCTTCTTCTTCGTCTTCTTCGTTGTTCCTAAGTTTTCATCATTCCGTTATTTCAGTTCCTTGCCATTACTAAACTACTAAAACTAGCTTCAAATGATAATAATTATATAAAAAAAGGAGAGAGAGAGAGATCATTCATAAATGATATATAGAAAAAAAAAATATCAGACCTCTTTGGGAGGATATTCATCAGACTCGAGCATGCGGACAACATGACTCATTTTGGGCCGCTTGTCAGAATCAGGATCAACGCATCTCAGAGCAGTAAGAAGCGCTTTCTTAAGAGCAGCGGCCGATGGTTTGGCCTCAATCTCTCTGTCCACCACTTCCTCCACCCGTCTCTGCTGAAC